GGGGTGGGAAAGGACAGAGAATGCAAAATACTCTTATTATGACTTGCAGATTACAGCCTATTTTCGTTCTGTATTGAGCCAAATAACTTGGGTTTTGCCTACAGCATCTTCCAGAAAGGCATCCAGTCAGGATTTGAAGGTATCTTGAGATAGAGAACAAAGTACTTTCTGCCTAGCTTCTACTTCTAGCCAGCGATTCTTGGTCTTCCACCTCTCTCTGCCAAATCACAGCGCTCTTGATTAACCTGCATTTTCTCCATGAGAAGCTATCTGCATACTCTAATTAAGTTACCTCTTGACTTCCTGTTTGATAAAATTCAGAGTAAGCTCAAAGTCTATTACTGTAAGGTATTTTCTCCAGTCCTCAAACTATTTTTGCATCTTTCTCAATGTCCCTTTAAAAAAATCAACATCAGAATCAAATGCTGCATTCTGCTGCCAGATTCACCACAGGCATGACCAGAAGTAAAATGCACTGCTCTCCTCTTACTCACTACTTTCCTCACCCTGCATTTCAAGGTCACGTGAGCCTCTCTGCCATGACTGCACATCGTGACCAGATGATCTTTGCCCCCCACATTACAGACACTGCTTCCATGCCTCGCGCAAAGGTGAGATCAAGGATACAACTGGATGAACCAAAGGCCAGGGAGCAATGCTGTTCTAGTCAGGGCCATCCACTCTGAGGAACAAAAGCCCCGCCAGCAAACTGGCAGTCCTCCCTGGCCCGCAGGCTGACAAGCTGTTACAACTTTAGGACCAGCTACACTGAAGCTTCTTCTTCCCACCCACGGCAGCTGCTTTCCTCCCCAGACTAGCAAGGAGCTGGGTGCGAATCCCACCCGGCTGGATTTCAGCGGGCCTCTGGAAAGCGCCGGGGACACGAACTGCAGGCGCTGGAGTAGCGGACAGGAGAACATACCCGGGGCTGGCTGGAGAGCTGCTCATTTCCAGCCCGGGCCGGACGGGGGGGAGGGGCCTGCCTGCGGGCCGCGAGGAACTAGCAGACCCCGAGGCGAGAAGGGGCAGAGGACGCCGGAGATACAGAGGAACCAGCCCCTTCTGCCTCGGCGCCCGGCCTGGGCCGCTCGCTTACCTGCACCAGCACCTTGACGTACATGAGGGGCTGCGAGAGCACGGTGAGGCCGGAGCCCAGCAGCACCTGCGAGGCCGTGTCCGCCATGGTGCAGCCGGCCCGGGCCCAGCGCCCTCACGTCACCGCAGCCACTTCCGGGCACGTGGGCTCTCCCGGCCGCCGCTCAGCTCCGCGCGCGAGGCTGCCGGAGGCTCGGGACTTCCGGTCCCTGCTGCCGTCACTTCCGGCGCCGCCCGCGGGCGTGGTCGGTGTGGGGCTTCGCTTGTGCCATGTGCCCTCGGCCCCTCTCCCGGGCCGGGCCCGAGCGCCTGCCCCTGCATGCCCCAGACCCAGGGCACGTCCAAGGCGGAGGCGCTGTCCTGCTGCCTTGTGCCTACTCCGGTCAGGGGCCTTCCCGTCCCGTCCCTTCAGCCATAGTTTGCAGCCACTCGTGTCCTGTGTTGCCTGCTGGGACTGCCGGCAGGACACCGCTAGCCGCTGCCACAGGCTGTTTTGTGCCTGGCCGGAGCACTCCTGGAGCAGCTGGTTTTCGTGCAACAAAAAGGCACCAAGGGATTATTATTATTATTATTATTATTATTGTTTTAATCAACTGCGTCATCGGCGCCCATGGGGGGGAACATAGGCTGTTCCCCCCCATAGGCGGTGATCTGGTGGGGGAGATAGATGGGGCTGGGAAGAGGAAACCAGGAAAACGCTGGACTCTTGTCGCTCGGGACTCTGCGGCAGGGGCAGTGAGAGGAGCAGGATGGGAGTGCAGCTAAGAATGAAGCTGAAATTGGTTCCTTTTTCAAAGCTAATCCAGACCCAATAAAAACTTGTTATTAATGAATTACACATCCTAAAGTGACAGAATTTCATTAGTTATGCATATGTACTAATTAATATGTAAAATAATATCTCACATCAAGTACAGAGCCCTAAATGAAGGGCAAATTAGGATGGGATTATGGGGCAAAATACTTTTTGGGCCACCCCAAATTATGTGGCGATGCCCCTGGGGGACTGTCCCAAAGAACCCTGGCCACAGTCCTGCCTGGCCCAAAGCACGGTTTGGCCGTGCCAGGCTGCCAACTAACAGCCCCCATGCCCACTGTACTAAGTATAATGGTTTGAATAAGGAACTGGCTTTTGGGCTGGGATTATGGCTAGAAATTCTGCTTGGGCCACCCATCCAAATACCTGTGTGTCACTGGGGGACTGTCCTGGACATCTGTGACCAGAGACTTGCCCGGCCCAAGGCATGGTTTGGCCATGCCAGGCTACCAACAGACAGCACCCCAGGCACTGTGCTAACTGTATACACCCGAATAAGGAACTGGATTTTGGGCTGGGATTATACCCAGAAATCCTTCTTGGGCCACCCCAGAACATGTCTCTATGCCACCGGGGGATGCTTCTGGACATCTCTGAACAGAGACCTGCCCGGCCCAAAACACGGTTTAGCCTCAGTGGGTTGCCAACTGACACCACCCCCACAGACACTGCATTAAGTATCTGGACCCTAATAAGGAACTGGCTTTTGGGCATGAAGCTGAAGTTGGTTCCTTATTCCCAGTTTCTTATTCTTGGTTCCCAGTTCCTTTTTCAAAACCAATCTATACCCAAAATAAGTTTCTTAGTAATGAATTACACATTCTAAAGAGAATTTCATTAGCTATGCGTATTTACCATATTTACCAATAAATATGTACATTAATATCCTGCATCGAGTACAGAGCCCTAAATGAAGATCAGATTAGGATGGGATTACAGGGCGAAAAACTTCTTAGGCCACCCCAAATTTCCTGTTGATGTCACCGGGGGACTGTCCCAAAGAACCCTGAGTGCAGTCCTGCCTGGCCCAAAGCACAGTTTGGCCCTGCCAGGCTGTCAACTGACAGCCAGCCCCCCATGACCACTGTACTAAGTATATGAACCTAAACAAGGAACTGGCTTTTGAGCTGGGATTACAGCTAGAAATCTTTCTTGGGCCACCCAAAACCATGCCTGTGTACCACCAGGGGACTCTTCTGAACATCTCTGACCAGAGTCTTGCCCAGCCCAAAGCACAGTTTGTTTATGCCAGGCTGCCAACTGACAGACCCCCCCATGCCCACTGTACTGTATATATGGGCTCGAATAAGGAACTGGCTTTTCATCTGAGATTATGACTGGAAATCCCTCATGGGCCACCCCACACCATGACACTGTGGCACCGAGGGACTCCCGGGTCCTGCTGTGCTCTACTCCCCCCCCACACCCCACACTGCTCCGGGTCCAGCCCTGTTCTGCCCCCCACTACTCCAGGTCCAGCCCTGCTCTACCTCTCCCCCCCACCGCTCCAGGTCTGGCCCAGCTTCAGCCCCCTGCTGCTCTGGGTCCAGCCCTGTTCTACCACCCCCACCATTCCAGGTCCAGTCCTGCTGCCCCCCCTGCCCCCCCATCGCTCTGGGTCCAGCCCTGTTCTACCCCTCCCTCCCTGCCACTCTGGGTCCAGCCCCACTCTACCCTCCCTCCCTCATGCCGCTCCGCATCTTCCTGGCCCATGTCTGCCTCCCCCTCCCTGCCGGCTATTCTGGGGGGGTTGGGGCTAGGTGGCAGGTGTGGCGCTGCCACCCTGATCCCTCACCCCTTCTCCCTCAGGCAGAGAGGCACGGGGAAGTCCTGCTGCTCAGGTGTCCAGGGCATGTTTGCTGCCGCCACAAACTTCCCCAGCAGCAGCTCAAACTTGGGCCCACGGAGTCAATCGCCACCTGCTCTCTAGGCAGCACATTCGCAGTTGCTCAAAAGCATTATGGACAGACAGATACACAGACTAAGCCTTTTATTATATTAAAATGCATAGCTAATTAAATTCTCTCTCTTTAGAATGTGTAATTCTATTAATAAGAAGCTTTTATTGGGTATAGATTAACTTTGAACGAGGAACTGGGGATCAGGAATAAGGAACTGAGAATACAGAATCAACTTCAGCCTCCTAACCAAAAGTGGGTCTCAAGAATATTTGAAAGGGTTGTGAGCAAGTCGGAGAAAAACACAGGAAAGCATGGGGTTCCCTTTGCAGACTGGCAGCATTCCAGCTTGCAAGAAACTGCTTGGAGTGATTGAAGACATGTGCGTATGTGAGCCTGCACACGCACACATACATGGCCAGCATGCAGCCAGGCAGGGTTGTGGGAGCAGCCCTAGCAGCTGGATGCAGGTAAGTGTATGGGAAATGGGGGTTGGAGGTCCAGGGTTTGGGGACTATCTGGGTGCTGGTGAGGGGGGAAAGGGGTGCCTGCCAGCAATGGAAGAAAGTGGTCAGGCACTGAGGCTGCTTGGCGGGGTGGGGAAGTTGCCTGCCTCTCCAGCAGGGTTAGAGAGCAGAGGGAGTCCTTTGGGGATGGCAGGGAACTGTGTAGCTGGGCCAGTGGCACCAGGGCCAGAGCCCGTAATCATAGGGGCAAGGCAGCCAGGAGACATTGCTTGGGGGGCAGGTGGGGCTGTGACCAGGCTACCTGGTGTCACACAGGAGCCCCAGCCCAGGATGCAGGGTGCCACAGCTCCCTCCCACCCCCCTCCATCCAGCCCATACTGGGGCTGGACTCGCTCTGCTGTTGCCCGCATGAGCTGGAGCTGCTGCAGCCACTGTGCTCCAGCCTGAGCTGGACAGGTACAGCTGGGGGCCCCCTCTGGCAGGGTTGGGGAAAAGGGCAGGGGACTGCAGATTGGGAATGAGGGGTACCAGCATGGCCCAGAGAAGCAAGGGACTGTGGGTTGGGAGTGAGGGCACTGGCAGGGCCAGGGGTTCATGGCTTGTGAGTGAGGGCACCAGCAGGACCAGAGAGCTGTGGGTCAGAAGCCCAGGGGGCTGTGGGTGGGAATTGGCCACTGATGTTTAGAAATGGGTCCTGGTACAAAACAGGTTGAAAACCACGGCTTTAATCAGTCTGGGAATGTGGCTGAGCAGGGGTTGAGGCACTTCAGCTGGGAGTCTCTTACATGGAATGGCTGGCAAAGCCTCTCACATCTCTGTGCTTCAGTGCAGAAGGGCTGGAAGTCAAGGAGCTTCCACATCCCATCTGGAAGGGAGAAGTTGATGCGACTGGCTCTGGTTCAGCTTGAGGGGGCTCCCTTGCCAGGAAGTTGGGCTCTTGGTGAGAGGTTTCTGTCCATCAGTGGAGTTGTGGCTGGTGCTTCAGAGTTCCACCACACAGACCTAAGGGACAGACATGGCCAGGCATGCTCACTGCCTGGGGAGACCATGCCGCTCAGTACTCCTGGCAGGGGAGTGGGATTGGGCTGACCTTAACTCTGCTTCCTTGTATATTCCTGTCCCCTCACCCTACATGGTTCTATCCCACCCAGCAGCCCTGTCTCCTGTAGATAACTCAGTTTATGACTCATTGCCTGTTCAGTGCTTACTCTGGGTTCCTCCCTTATCCCATCTTGCTTGTACTCACTTCATCCCAAAAGGTTCTGCCCCTTCTTCTGTCACCATTCCCTTGGCCTTTCCCAGGAGCACTCTTGCATCCTTATTCCTTACCCCTAGCAGTTCTTCCTGCATTTCAAGGGATTCTGACCATACCTGTCTTACTTCCAGGGCACCTGTTTCAGCCTCCATAATTGTCTATCCCTTTGCTGCCCAAGAGCTGAGAGCTTCCATACCCTTCTGCTCCCTTCCAACAGCTCCTGTCTCAGATCCCCTATACAGCTGTCTCCCATGACTCCCTCTTGGTGCTGCCCCCAGTTCTCACCCCTGCTCCATCAGTCCCATACCCTGCCCTAGCAGTTCCCCATCCTGGCCAATTCTTCCTTCCCATTTGTATGCCCTTCAATTCCTTCCCACTACCCTTCTTTCTCTAGGGTTGCTACTCCATCATCTGTCTTCTACCCTAAGGCCCTTTAACTCCCTTGTGCCCCTCTTCCTAAACTCCTCCCATCTCCAGGGACTCCTTCTTTGATGGGCTACACCTCCCTAAGGTCCCCCAGCATCCTGCAAGCACCAGTAGTACCTGCAGTATCAGCATCACTGTAGCATGCCCTGGCTCTGCAAAGATCTGGTGCTCAGGTTTCCAAGCAGCGTCTGACACCCCTCCCCTCCCCCCCGCTTCACACCATGAAGGACTGCTGCCCTGGAAGCATGCCCTTCCCAGTTTCCAGAGGTGTAGGCACAAGTCTCTGAAGTGTTTTGACCGAGGTCAGTGGATACCCTCTAAAGGCCTTTGCTGCTACATGGCCGCTGAAGTCAAGCACATGGTATGGAGTTGCTGGGACAGGGTAAGGAGTTGTTCCCACTCCCTCTGTGCTCACACCAAAGGCGCTGCCTTTCTTCCTCGCTCTCAGATCAGCACAATGGCTGGAGGAACCAAACCTCCAACTATTCATGGGGCATGAAAACGGGGCCTCTTGAGCATTTGAATCCAGTCCCTGCTGTCATAACCAACCATATAATTTAATCCTCTACTAAGAGAATGTTCCAGATTCTCCTTCCTCTGATGGTTAGAGGTCTTTTCATTTTCAGCCTAAATTTATCACAGCTAGTTTGTTCCCTCTGCTCTTGTGCCAACAGTGTCCATTACTTAAGTAACTCCTGCACCTCCCCAGCATTTCCCTCTCTGATGTATTTATAGATATAAATACAGCCCAGATCAGCTTTTTTGTCCCAGAAAGCTCGTCTGACACCTTTTTCAACTCTACATTTGGTCCAGAAAAAGATAGCACCAAAAAAACCTTGCTTCTTGCATATTACCTGGACCTTCACAGCTACAGTTGTATTTATAGCTGGCAGTCCTACCCCTTCAAAGCTGTGGTATTGCTCGGTCAGATGGACAGCTTGGTTTAAGTCCCTTCTCATGGAACAGGCTTTTGTTTCCAAACATGGGCCTCCTCTGGTCTGCAGAATCATGGGAGGTGAGGGCTCAGAGCCATCAGAATTCTCTTTTCTCTAGAGAACACCCCAGAAAGAAGGGTCCCTAAACTGAAGGGCAGAATAGCAAGGCAGTCTCACATTTTGCTGCTCTGGATTCAGCCAATAAAAGCAAGGATCACTGTCCCCTCCAGGCCGGGGGGTGGAGAAACATAAGGAGTCTGGACTATGTGGAACCGATGGGACTCCTTTAATCAAGGCTGGGCAGATAGAACTCATAGATCAAAGGGCTCTACCTCTGTGTGCATGTTCAGATCATCTTAGAAGTTGGCAGTCAGGGTAGAAGTAGCTATGGAAGTTTAGGCTTACTTTGGTCAAAATGTCCTAAGGGAGAGCACCCCATAAATGTGGTGGGTCTTGGCTTCAGGGATGATGGGGGTATGGCTCTATGCAATAAGGAAAAAGCATTCCCCAATGTCTGTGTAGCTACAACCTCCCCTTCTCCCCCTTCCTCCTCCAATGGTTCTTTCACTGGCTTGGATAGGCTTAAAGAACTGCCTCTAGTTTACTTTTATACCTCTAGCTATTTGCTCCCAACAAAGTGCAGTGCCTGATGTAATTTGCTGGCTTCACTCAAGTTGGTAGGGTCTCTCCAACTAAAGAGTCACCCCAACTGGGATACTTCCTGCTCCCTGTTGAACTCAGAAGCTCTTTCTTTTAGGAATGCCATTCTAAGGAATTCTTGTGCCTCACTCCTTCCAATTCAAGCAGAGTGAGCCCTGGCGGGGCAGAAACAGGGGATATTGCTGGAAGGGCAAGAGCAAAGCTGCTGTGTACTGAGTGGTACAACCTTCCCAGTAATCCATGTGGGTTTGCATCCTTGCATGAGTGGATCCAACATTTACCAAAAGGGAAGTGCAGCACAGCATCCCTCAGACCATGGGATGAATTGCTTCTGGAGCCTTTGGGCTAGTAGAGGACATCAGAGAGTGATGGAAGAGCAACTCTGGGGCACCCTGCATCAGCCAGGGGCATCAGCAGAAGGGAGGGACAGGTTCCTTCTTTCAGCACCTCATCTCAGTCAACAGGAAATACAAGTGGGGGTGAGCAGCAGGGAGCAGGTTCAGGAAAAGAAAACCTACCCATGGCCTCCACTGTCCCGTGCCGAGCCTGGCACCCTGCACCAGTCACAGCTCTGGGGTTCCCCCAGGGACACCAGTGGCAGAAGAGGGACTACACCACTACATCCCACTGGATCCACTCCTGCATCTTTACTATGCTATATACTGCCTTCTTGTACACTTATGCCACCCTAGCAGAAACTGCACTGCTGAACAAAATGGTGCTTGGGCTGGCTCTGACCACAAATGCAGACTGAGCCAACACCAAGCTGCCTGGGGAGGACAAGAAAACAAAGGTCTGAGTAACAGTGAGAAACAGGCTCCAGCAACATCAGCTCCCTATGGGAACAAATACTGCTTGGGAACAGGGCCCAAGGGGTCAGGAGAGAGGTTCCCCCCATGTCTTCTTCATAGTGTGGCTGTGACAGAAGAGAATTCTTTCTCTCCCTCTTCTACCACCCACATACCCGCTGGTCTTTATCTGATGGAGCAGAGGTCCCCCCCACTCAGCCTTTTGCACTAAACTACCTACCAGGCACTAGGCTGCAACAGTGGAATCCAAGCCTATCCTTGAATCAAGCATGGGGTCCATGTATTCCAAGGGCAGGTAATAGGAATTTACCTGTAACTGCTTCTCTGCTAAGCCCTTTCTCTTTGCTTGAAAGCATGCCAGCAACCCTGGGGACCCCTAAAGGAGAAATGTAAGCCCCAATGCATCGGCTTCCCTCCCACTGCTCCCTTTCTTACCTGTGGGCTGTTCCTCAGGTGGCTGTCCATCCAGTTGTGAATGGAAAGGTGGATGGTACTGTTTCAGAGGCACCAGCAGAGGTTTCTGTGTCCTCAACAGGGGGATGACAGGGATGAGGTGAGGCCGATGGGTCTTCCATAGGTTCTTGACTAGGGGGCTGGGCTGATGGCTTATTTCATGGGGACAGGGACGAGCTTCAAGGGAGAGAGACAGTGAAAACAACAGATTCATTTGCATGGGTAACCCAGTGCCTGGCAGCTTCATGTGGCACAGCACTCCAGTGGGCAGCCACTCTCACTCTCACTTTAGCCTCTGCTTCCCTCAGGACTCAGCTGAGTGCCCCAACTGGAGATCATCAGACCCTGCCAGCCAAGTAGGGCTGATATGAGTGGCTTTGAAGGACCCTGAGGAACCTAGCAGACCATGTAGAATTGGCTGGAGATGGAGGCAAACACCTTGTGGCAGTGGGGAGGACCATAGCACATGTCATCAGCCTCTCACAAATCCCACTGCTTCTGCCCAATAGTCACCTTCACTGGACCCCTTCTGTTCCCCTCAGCCCCCTCTCAGAGCCACAAGGGATGGGTACTTGTCAACCCCACAGGGGCTGAGACTCAAGCAGCAGAGCAGAGAGACAACCCCCTCCTCTACCAGCCTGAAATATTCCCCACTCTTCAGCTAGACTGGCCATGCCACATCTGACTGTGAACAATTCAATCTTAAGGAGCTGCCAGAGAAAGGCATCTCCCTACCAACAGGTTCTAGGAGGAGCACTGGCTGCAATTAGGAATCAGACCTTACGTTTGTCCAACCAAACTCATTCTCTTCTACTGAATTCCTCCCATGTCCAGCAGCATGACTAGGGATCTGGGTTTTCCACTTACTGTGGAAAAACATGGATTTTCTACTTTAAAGAGAAAAAACTGGGAAACTGTGGGTTTCTCCTTGCAGTCTGCAAGGGGCTGCTTGGGGCTGGGGGAAGCAGGACACAGGGGTTGCCTTGTGCATGTGTGCATGCATGTGGAAGCCAGGCAGGGTGGTGGAGAATGGCTCCTACAGCTCCCTCCAGGTAAATCAATGGGGGGTGGGAGGGGGAGCACAAGTGATGTGGTGAGGGGGCATGTGTACCCCCAGATTTCTGCTCCCAAAATGGGGTGCAGAGCTACAACTGGGTCAGACCACCTCTGGGCAAGAGCTGCCTCCATGGCCTAGTGGGCAGGACCCAGCACAAGAGGGAGTGTCACACTGCCATGGCCACCAAGGTGAGGTGCCCCTGCCCACCTAGCAGCAGCAGGGGGCACAACTCTGCCTGCCACTGCCACATCTCACCTTGGCAGCCATGGCAGCGTACTGCATCGCCTGTGCCCCCCCCCACACATTGCCTGTACCCCCCACCTCTCCATACACCCCTGCCTCCTCACAAACTAGGGGGAGGTGGGGCTAAGGCTTGGGAGTGAGGGGCAACAGCATGGGCGGGGGTAGGGCACTGGTATATCAGGGTTACACAGTTCCACCAAGCAGCGGGGGGACAGCCACAGCTAGACCTGCATCCTGGTGAGCGAAGTGGGCACAGGGAGCTCTGATTTTCCATGATAAAAACAAAATCAAAAGCCAAAATATATAGGTATTTAGAATTTATTTTATTATAATGCTCGGATCATCTCTGGGTGGTGCAATCACCTATCCTGGAAATCTTCAAGAGGATACTGGATGGTCACCTTGCTGGGGTCAGCTGACCCCAGTTGTCTTTCCTGTTAGCGCAGGGGGGCTGAACCTGATGACTTTGCAAGGTCCCTTCCAGCCCCTTACAATCTATGAATCTATGAGAGCAGCTCCCTCCCAGTAAGTTTATGTGGAGGGGGGGCAAGAGGGGGTGGGAGGAGGGGCACAGGTCATGTGGTGGGGAAAGGGACACTACCCACACACTGGGGCAGGGGACTGGCATATAACAGGGCTGCTCAGCACCACAAAGCAACAGGGGGAGCAGCCACAGCTGGACCCTCATCCTGGGGAGCAAAGCGGGTAGGGGGAACTCTGATTTTCCATAATAAAAAACCCGAATATCATATGCCAAAATTTATAGGTATTTAGAATTAATTTTATTATAATAATTGAGGCACTGGTAGGCTTCCAAATTGCTTTAAAATTGTAAATATATCAATAAAGCATTGTGTTCAACTGACACCTATATATATAGTGGTGTGTCATTTTAATCATGGAAAATGTGGATTTTGGAGTTTTTAATCAGAGAATTTGGGATTTTTAAACAGAAAACCAGGATCCCTGATCATGACCCATCTAAGTGCTTATGCTGAGGTGAGGTCTCCATCAGCCAGCTAGTACTTGCAGAACCACAGGGGGCATGGAACAGGCCCTAATCACTTACTAATATTTTAAATAATATAGCAATGAATTTATCTTTGGAGCTGCCACTGCCCTTGTAGCTTGGAGAATCTGGGAAACTATGTTTCATCTCCCTCCTGCTTTCTGGGCTTGGTTGCTACAAATTGTCAAACCAGCATTATAATTAAGGAGTAACTTGTTCAGTTCACTTCATATTTGGTAGAATAATTCTACTTCTTCCCCAGAGCTAACCTACCAATTTTGAGGCTGCAATTCCTGTGGTTTGTGGATTTTCGGTGGAGTAACAAAATTGCCCTTATAGAAACTGTAGCAATTTTAGCTATGTGTGGATCCTGCTGTCCCATAATCATACACACCCACACTTTCTTAGCTATGTCTTGATACTGCTATCCCCTAATCATACACACTTACTGCAAGAAAATGTGTGCCAAGACAACCTTCCTTTTAAATGGTGAGACTCTTGACTAGCATTTAGTTTTCTCCTCTGCAGATAGGACATTATTATGTCTTCTGGATTTTTGCCCTGTGAAGAAAGCACTGAAATTGTAGAATCATACTGTCAGAGTCATCTAGTCCAAGGCCCTGCATAGCAATGCGTGTGCTAAATACTAGGGACACACCGATAGAGATTTTTTGGGCCGATACCAATGGTCAATTTTTAACAAGCCATATCGGCTGATACTGATCCAATACATGGCCAGGCAGCTTGGAGAGCAGCGTCTGGCCGGTAAGCCTGCTGTGGGGGAAGGAGCAGGGGGAGGGAAGGGGTGTGGTGGGGGGCAGATCAAGGCCACCACGGTGAGGGACAGAGTGGAGCTGGCACTGGGGCAGAGGCAGGCACTGCCCAGCCGGAGTGGGGTGGGGCATGGGACAGAGCTATGAGTGGTTCATCCAGGGGGCCGTGGGGGTTGGCTGTTGCTGCTTCGGCGCACCCCAGGAGGCATGGCGGGGTGTGCCCCCTGTACCTGCGTGCGGGGCAAGGGCAGGCTGCTGCTGTTGGTTGGGGCTGGGGCACTGCCCGGCTCTTCCTGGCTGGGGGCTCAGCTGCACTTGGGGCAGTGACACTGGGAGGGGGGCTGCAGCCACCCCAGAATTTGCCATAGGCCCACCAACCCCCCTCCCGGCACCACTGCCCTGCGAATGGGGCTCTGGCTGGGCCAGGTCATGGGGCAATCCCCACAGTGCAGCAGGGAGCAGGGCAGGGGTGAATGATTCACCCCTGCTCTTACCCCACTGCCTCCTGCACTGTGGGGGTCTCGATCTGCCACCCCAAAGCCCAGGTAAAGAAAACAGATATAAACTTACCTGCCTGCTCAGCCAGCTGTGATCCTGGCTGCGGAGGGTATGTGTGCGCCCCTCCCAGCCACATAGCAGCTTGCGGCCAGGCTGCCCTGGGACTCTACCTGCTACCTGTGATTGGAGGGGCTGATCCTGGTTAGCCCCTCCCTTCTGCCACATATGTGTGCCCCCCATACCTCCTGGGCTGCGCGTAGGGAGCCACCCCCCGCCACTTCCCCTAGATAAGCCGCAGCTCGTTCCCATGCCATGCCTTGCTCCCTCCCTCACCACGGGGGCCTCAATTTGCCCTACCCCTTCCCCCGCAACAGACTTACTAGTCTGACACTGCTCTCCACACTACTGGGTTGCGGTCCTGGCTGCCTGCATGCTATGCTGCAGCTGCGCACATGAACAGAGCATTTATCGGCGACATTATTGGCCACTCAGCCAAAAAAAAAGCCAATTGCTGATACTGTCAATTTTCCTTATGTCGGCACCAATACAATATGGGACTGATGTATCAGTGTACCTCTAGTAAATACCAAATCAGTCTCTCCTCACAAGGAGGAACACTCAACCCCACTCCAGCAAGCCATCTCCTGAACTTGGTAGCAAAGTTCTGGCCCGCACTTTGAAGGGCCCAGCATTTCCCAGGCTAGCCAAGTTTCCAAAAAACTCAGGACAATTGTACACCCAGCCTACAGAGTTCCTTGAAAGTCAATGGCTCTTGGTTATTTTGTTAGCAATACTACGAGGCTGTGGCAGCCACTCCCTAGTATTAAATCCCCATCTGCAGTGGGAATCTAGGAGATAACAGCCCAGCTCCAGACCATCCAGCACTTGCCCCATGATGTCCATGTGACTGCCAACATATACCTTACTTCAGCAATGTCCAGGAAGTGCCATGGATCCCTCCAAACTATTCATTGCACACAGGATACCTCGGATGTGTAGCCTGGAGTGGACATATAGGACACACTCCTTCCCTTCCCTTACCAAAACTGGAAATGGAACCACTATAGGGATGGAAGAAGCTGCTGCTAAACAACTCCTGCCCCATTCATCATGTTCCTGGGCGCTGGCTTCTCTGGATAATGAAGCAGGTTTGTTTTTTTCTTTCACATTTTTATCACTTGGTATTGGGAGATCTCAGCCGGGTGAATGCTAGAGCTGGAAACTGTACAACCCTAGGTTAAGTGATGCCCCTACCCCAGGCTTAAAGACCTGCCATAGCTGATGAATGGAAACAGACCAGGGTGCTGGGACAGCAAATGTGATGAGTGGCGGTTGATTCTGAGCCAAGCAGAGGCAGCTGTTAAGTGAAGGTTAAAAAAAACCTCCAGCTGTGGTTCCCCAGGACCAGCTCCATGGTCCTTGCCTCATGTTCACATTCTATTCCAGCTGATGGAAACTGAGAGCCCACTCAGTGGTATAGTTTGGCCTTGGGAATCAGTTGGGGGGCAAATTCAATAGTGTTTCTAGCAATAAGGGAATGGGTGTTGCTGAGTGAAAAAGGAGAACATTCCCTATTACACCTGTTTGCCACTGCTATTCTCCATGCACAAAGACAGCGTGCTGACAGGCTGGTGGACTCGGCACATGGGACTTGCCACATTTTTCTCTTCTGCCATCTGTAATGATAGTAAGAGGGGCATTTCACACAACAAGCAAATCAGTCCTGAACTCTGGAACGATCCTTTCCCGCAGTCCCTCTGCAGTGGACAGACAGAATGTAAACCAGATCAAACACCATAAACATCAAACACCAGGCACCACTCCTGCAACAGAGGAACCTAGGCCTGAGGCTCTAGATTTATCCTAGAGATAGTAAATAGGCTTTATGGCTCATCCTGTCCAGTCTGCAGCTTCCACTGCCTAGAAAACTGACAAAGAAGGACTCTGACCTCAGGCCTTCCTAAACTATTAGTCTGACAGAAGGCAAAGTAAAGGTCCACCTTATACATTGAAGCAAGGTTTTGGGGGGGAATATCTTCTAGTGAACCAGCTTTATAGTTGATTGAATCCAAACTGTATAGTTGAAACTATACAGTAGATCTAGTAAAATATATTACCAAAAACCTTGCTTCTCACATATTCCCTGGACCATCATCATGGCTACAGCAACATTTTAAAACTCCACTACTAATATGTCTCTATATAGGGTGACTATACGTCCCAGTTTAGCCAGGGCAGTCCTGGATTTCAGAGGCCAATCTCAGCCGGCTGGTTCAAATTAAAATGAGTGTCCTGGAAATGCAGGGACACAGGGCACAGTCCATCAGGGAGGCGCAACAGCATGGTGCACCACACCACACAGCCCTGCCCCACTAGTACCTGCAGCAGAGCCACTGACTTGAATAGAGAAAACTCCTTGGAGTAGGGGATGGTTGTGGGCATGCCTTACTTCCAACATGTGGCCAGCTTTCAACACAGATCAGTACTAAGGGCTCCAGGTACCTGCTCAGTTCTCTTTCCTGCACTGCTGCATCTGCCTGAATTCTTGAAAAAAGCAGGTCGCTTTCTTGATTTGGAAGGAGCAACTCTCACCTGGAAGAATTGTAATAGAGTGTCTTTACTTGTTCTGTGCTGCAAAAGCCAAGTCTCCCACAGAGAGGATCCAGGAAACTCAGGGAGAAATGGTCAACTATGGGGTTGCAGCATCAATGGGTGGGGTCACAGGGGTGGGGGGCTGAGGGTTGGGCGTGAGGGGCCACACTGAGAAAATGGGGCCATAAATAGGGTCATGCTGAGGAAAAGTTTGGGAAGCAGTTGTCTAGGCACTAGTCATGGGGCCCTGCAGATCCAAGTAGTAGGACTGGAGGTCTGGTCTGATAGCACAAGGTAAGATCAGGGGCCTGCAGCAGAGAGAGACTGAGTTTGGGGGCCCTGAGGCCAGAGTTCAAGACTGGAAATAAGATGAGGTAGCCTAATCAAGGCATGGAGCTGAAAACCCAGTGATGAGCAGGACCAAGTGAAGCACCCAAAGCTTATGCTGATCTCTGAGGTCAGTCTCCCCCAACTGCATAATCATTTCACCATCAGGGTATGGCAGGTGAGGTAATGGGGTGGGTGGTACCCTGGGAGGCCAGAGTGGAAGAAAACAGGATAAATGTGACCACTAGGGGGCACCACAGCCACCAAGAAGTGGGTCCTGTCATGCTACCATACACCTTCCAAAATCAAATGGTACCAAATAGTACCTGCTCCCTTCTGGTACATTTTGTCCTGCTTCTGAGCACTTTATCCTGCATGAATGTTTCTACACAAATCTTTTAAAGCATTTCAAAGGCATTTTGAAGCAATGCCTTTAATGCTACATCTGTCCACAGCCTCAGCAGTTGCCTCAGGCTCTGTTAAATATGTATGGTATTAGAGTAAGAACATATTCTGAACAGTTCCATGGTAATGTTTGCTACAACCTCTAACATGCACAGCTTGCTGATTATCAGTCTCAGCCCCCGTATATCACCAGAGTCTTGAACCAGCTCATGTGCAGTGCAGGGGCTGTGTTGGCTTCGAAATGTTATTTAAAGGTCTGTTTTTTTGGGAATTGGCTTATAGATATAGATATACGCATTATAAGGGGTCAAGATGGGCAGCAGGGGTTAAATGGATTTCCAAAGAGCGTGGGAGACACACACAGCTTCTCATAGCCCTGAGAGCAGACGAGCTGTCTAGCACAACAAGACCAATAGATGGACACAGTCTAAGAATGAAGGAGGGCATGCCATGACACGGGATCACAGACTTGTCTAACACAGACATGTTGTCTAGCACAACAAGGACACACAGCCTGGGAACCAAAGAAGTATGTACCATACTGCCCCATAACATGAGAGAAGTGACACCAGCAACAAAGCCTCAGAGAACAGGAGGGCCTAAGTCCTGTTTTGGGGAAATAGACCAAATTAGGACAAGGCCCGGAAGGCTACATGGATGCGTGACCACAGAGAGACAACCAACCAGAGATAGCCATGGATGAAGAGTCATCAGGAGTCATCAAGGGGGAAGGAGAATACAAAAGCAGAAATTTGAGATTAACAAAGTGTCCCATCCCTCCCTTTGTCCCATCCCTCCCTGTCCCATCCCTCCCTGTCTCTCCCTGAGAGGGGTCCCCATCCCCATCCCTGTTCCCCAGGAAGGGTCTCCAAGGCCACCATGGACTGAGGGCATACCAGTAGTCCGTCTCATGCACCCCACTGGAGGGGGGCTGTAGGCCTCAGCATCCCACTTCCAGACTGCTGACACCTAAGAGAGAGAGCCTCAGAGAGGAGCCTGCATCCTGACCAGACGTACTTTGACTCTGATGACAGCCCTAGGACTGGTAGATATAGAATTGTTTGGTAGTTTGCATTGTCGCTTTTTTGTTCTTACTCTGTATCAATAAACTCGACTATTATCAACTAGCAGGTGTTGTGGTCAGTTTGAGAGTTGTGCCTGCCTGGAACAAAGGTATGTGTGCCAGGTCCAAATCCAGTGTCAACAGCTGGACCAACAATCAGCTGAAAGGACTGATGGTTGCAGACTACTTTCCTAATTAATATGGACAAACACCACAGGTGCTCTACTTTGCACAGTGAAGGTTAGCTTCCCTAAGCCCAGGCCCAGGACCTGCCTTGTTTCAGAGCCCTTATGAAAGTATTAGCAGCACAAGGGAGAAACAGAGCCCAAACCTGAGACAGTCAGATCTCATAGCATTAAGCTTATGCCTCCCCTGTAGCTCCACAGCCTTGAATCTCACCCTGGGAAAACTACTTAAGCTGTAGGGAGACTGCAGTCACCAACCTTCCACACTCCCAGCCTTTTGGGGGTGGACTCCCTCTGCCGATGTACTACAAGCATCCTATATCAATAGCATCACAGTCAGGGACAGGAGACTGGATAACAAGGCATTTGTACAGGACACAGGTGTGCTTCGGGAAGAATGCGCCCCCACTTTCTCCTGCCATCTCCAGCTGTAGAGCTGGGCTGCATGGGTGGTGTCAACTTACCCTTACAGTCTCTTTGCCACTCCCTGTTCCTCAGCATAAACCCTTCTCTGTTCAGAGTGGCTGGAGTGTTACCCAAATCCAGCCCCTTATGTCAGCCAACCCTTCAGCTGGTAGACACTTGCAGGGAGTTATGCTGCTACTCTGAAAAGAGTATCTCTTTGCCCTGCCCCAGCTGCTGGGTTCTTACCAAGAGGCTTTCCTGACCCACCATTTTCTGTGGCGAGGTGTATTTCTGGTGCAGTTCATTCCTTTCTTTCCTTGTCCGGAGCCATTTCTTCTTCCTCTTCTTCTGGTTAAACTAGTTTGGAGAGTAAAGAAGCATTTCTCACTGCTGTTTTCCACAAGAGATAGGCTATTCCTAGGCCTGACAGAGACAGCAATCCCAGAGATGAGCCCCAAGGCCATAGCACCCATGTCTAGCCTTTATCTCCTGACAGTATGCTTCTCCCTACTGCCTTTCAGCTGCAGCTGTCCTCCAGGGAAGTGTGGGATGGAGTTAACAGCTTCCAGGAAAAGTCTGGCTTCCATCCCACCTGGCTAACTTCTTTACTTCGAATGCCCAGGGCCTGGCCTTCTACAGTCTAGGCAGTGCCCAGCTGTAGTTGATGGTATTGCAGGAATATCTACATCAGCATCCCTAAATAAGGTTAGAAAGGACAAACAAGTCCACCTAAGCCTGCATCCTGTCCATGATGGTGGCCACTGGATATTTGACAGACAGCCACAGCCTCTCTCATAATATTCTTAAGGAAACTATGTTTGGGATCCCTTTCGGGATCAATATATACCTCAAAGAAGGGGAAGACAAAAGACCCCTTCAGCTGCTGCTGCTACTGTTCTTCTACGTCCTCACGCAGAGAGCTATCTCAAGGTAAAGTCAATGATGATGAGCATCTAAGTCCAGCCATCAGAGCACCCCCGGGAATTTGCCTGCTGCAAACATCTGTGTTAGCACTGAAGCTGTATCCCTTATCCCCTGCTTGGCATAGCTTCAGCCAACCTGTCTCAGGGGGCTGGTTGCTCCTGGACCAGCCCCATTCACCTCTGACGAGGTGAAAGGCATAGAGATGGGAAAAAAGAAGGGTAATGCTAGGAATGGGGCAGAAGATGGATGGGGTGAGCCCTGGGCTGGGGGTTGGATAGGGCAGTCAAGGACCCCTAGCATTGTCCTGCCCCTGTAAGCACTCTTTGCTATGAGGTCACTGGCTGCTGCCCCTTGGTGGGTCCTTTCCATGACTGCATGGCTCTCACCTTCTCTGCCAAGCTGAGTAAGTGAGCAGGGAGGCCATCTGATTGGGAGCTGTTGGAGCCACTGGTGCTGTGCCAAAAAGAAGGGGAGGAGGAGAGAGACCATGAGTTATTTACAAAAATTTATAGGCCTGACAGACCCCTTCAATTCCACCAATCTGACCTCTCACAGGGCTCAGAGCAGAGAATCCCCAAGAGCTCTCCCAGCTCCTGGCTGTGCTGAGGGACATAGTGTAGACTCCCAGGACTGGAAAATCTGCCCATCTGAAGTTATGGTTATGTCTAGCTGGCCTTGTCACCCATTGGCTCTCAGACCATGCCTGCCTTTGCTTCTGAGATTAGACAGTACTCCATTCTCAAAAGGTCTTCCCACTATGGGGTTGCCCAGAGTGCATGATGGAGTTAGTTCTCCACCTGTCCTTTGCTACCAACTTCAAGTCTCTCCTGGGTTGGGTATCTCAGCCCTCTTCACTCATGCATGTGAGCCAATTTGTTCCTAGTAACTCAAACTAAAGAATGGGAAGCCACAAGGGTCCTGCTGGCCTCCTCTTGCCTGTTGGTACTCACTAGTCATGGAAGGGAACAGATAAACTTTCCATGGGCTGGGAGAGGTGCAGGAAGCACAGCCTGGCTGTCATGGGGCATCTCACAAGCCACAGAACACAGCCGGCTTCCGGTGGGGGGCAAGCCTTCACTCAGCCATCTCCAACCACAGGCATAGGTGGGGATTCCCAGAACTGCAGCACCCTGCAGGAGGGTTGCAGGGTGGATGGGACCATGGTACCTGGACTCAATGTCTGACAGGGAGTTGTCACTCCAGGTGCCATCTGAGTCCTCCTTATGCCCACGCTCCTTGAGCTTCTGACAGATTTGCTGCCGCAGCAGCTCCTGCAGCTCAGCCATACATTGCAGAAACTGAGGGAAGAGAGGAGAGAGTTAGGCCAGCAAGGACAGCACTCTGGGGGGGGCCTTGACTTAGCCTCCGTGCACTCAGATTCTATGCACACAAAGCCTTAGTGAAAGGAGCATTTACATCTCTTGACGTACAGAGCTGGAGACAATGGAAACTACTGCCCCAGGCAACTGGCCACAGGCTGAAGTGTGAGCTGAGTCAAGCTATGCTGTTAGGGGCTTCCCTGAGTTATATGCAAATAGAGCTGCTTGTTTGGCAGGCTGCATGGTGAAAGGGCAGAGAAAGTCAGCAGGCAGCAAGAGAAGCATCTGTGAATTTGACTGTGGGAGAAAACACAGGCAGCGCATCATGGCACCAGGCACATGGGAGCAGAGTTAGGCATAATGAGCAAAGAAAGTGCCTTCCATTCATGGCTGCTACTGCAGGCAAGGAAATGGGGCTTCAAAGCTTTTCTATCAAAATAAATAAGACTACACCAAAGAAATACCTTACTTGAGATCATCCATTTCTCCTAATTCAGAAAGCCTGCTGTGGGTACTGCTATGGGCAATGCCACTCTGCTCTGTAACATGACAAGTGGGACTCAGAGGGTATGTGTACACATGCTCCTGACTACGCAGTACCACTAGGTACTGCGCAGTCCTGGTGGCACATGGGTCATTTTCGACCCTACTGCGCAGTAGCAACGAGCTAATGTGCAGTAGTGGCGGCATCATAGTTAGTGCCCACAGATACTATGTCACCGTAGTGATGAGCTACATTGCTGTAGTTCATCGCTACAGCAACATAGCGTCTCGTGTAGGTGCAGCCAGAGACTCTGATTAGCAGGGCTTCAGAAGTGCCAGGGTTGGGATGGCTGGTATGACTGGCCCCAAAACAGCAGGAAACATTTGCCAACAGCTGGCCAGAGGCCAAGGCACTTCTACCCAATGCCAACATGTCTGCAACTTGTAGCAGCCCCACAGGGCACCAAACCACATCCTGATAACAAACAAGTATGTGAGGCTGCTACCCCCTGCTCCTTAGCATATATCCTCTCCATACAGAATGCCCCTAGTTAAGATGAAACTAAGCTTCAGTATAAGCCTTGTGCCCATTGAGTGCAGAGCACTGGCATAAATCTTAGTCTTCCCCTGCACTCTACTGCCAGTATGGTTCCTCTGTCTAATATCCCCAGTAGCATGCCTTGATTCTGGCAGTGCACCTGCATGCCCACAGTCTGTTCATATGCTGCCCCACACCTGTTGCCCACCAGAATCTGGAATAACTACAGATGTGGCCGTGCCTCACCGCAGTCAGAACCCATCCAGAGCTGGTCTAACAGGGTGTATCTATATGTGCAATTACAGTGCCTGAATAAATTGCAGAGCTTACTGCTCTGGACTTAATTGCTCCCAGGCAAGCCATTTGAATGTGCACCCATGATCAATTAACTCTGGAGCAATAGCTCCTCAGTTTATTCAGGTGCAGCACATGGAGCCTGGGCAGAACAGCCCTGGCTGGCAAGGGGCCCTGCGGGGTTCAGTCTGCCAACCTGGGGCTGCTGCCCCCAGCTCAGTGTGCTGCAGAGGGGCTGGCTGGGGCATGAGGGAGCTTCAGTGTGGGGCTACACATGTTGCTGTTGAGTGTTTTACTCTGCAGCAGGATAGTACTTGTATTTACAAGTACTATTCTGCTGTGAAGTAAATTAGTTTACTCCTGCCTAATAGGGGCACAAGTGTAGACACCAATTCTCAGGTCAGGGCTTTAAACTAGGCACGTCGGTGGAGGGGGAGGAAGAGGACCAAGGCAGCCACAGAACACCAAACCAAGAGACACCCACAAGAACAGCCCAGCCAAGTCAGGCGATGAGCACAATACCCAGGTAAGAGACAGGGGCCCAGACAGTCCGGGGATTGGGGGGAGGCGCATACACCCTCAGGAGGCCTTAAATGCCTCTACACTAATGCTCGCAGTATGGGGAACAAGCAGGAGGAACTTGCCCTCCTGCTAGCTAACACAAACTCAGACATAGTGGGGCTCACTGAAATGTGGTGGGATCCAACACACGACTGGATGGTAAACATCAAGGGCTACAGGCTGCATAGGCGGGATAGAACAGGGAGGAAACGTGGGGGTATGGCGCTCTACGTCAAGGAGAAATACACATCCTCTGCAAACAGCACTGGGTCTGAGGTAGGGCAGACAGAGGTGCTCTGGGTCAGAATACAAGGGAGTTGGGGGAAAGGAACCTAACGGTGGGGGTCTACTACAGGCCATCTAACCAGGGAGAAGAGCTGGACCGGGAATTCTCAGGTCAGCTCACGGAGGCAGTTAAGTCAAGGGAAGTGGTCATCATGGGTGACCTCAACTACCCGGACGTCTGCTGGGAAGAGCAGTCAGCCAGATTTGACTGCTCACGTACGTTCCTTGCTGAGATACAAGACCTCCACCTAACCCAAGAGGTGCACAGTCCCACCAGAGGAAATGCCTTGTTGGACCTGGTCCTGGCCACAGGTAATGACCTGGTGAGGGGACTGCGGGTGCTCGACCACCTGGGCGATAGCGATCATTGCCTACTGGAATTCACCATCCAGCGCAGGGTATCAAAGGCCTGCAGCAAGGCAGCAGCCCTGGACTTCAGAAGGGCAGATTTCAATGCGGTAAGGAGACTTGTCCAGGAAGCACTGAGGTCCTGGAGGGGAGGGGAGTTGGGAGTCCAGGAAGAGTGGTAGTTCCTTAAGGACACAATCCTCCAAGCCCAAAGGGTGACAATCCCCACGCAGATCAAGGGGGGCAAGAGTACTCAAAAGCCCCCATGGCTCACCAAAGGCATCTAAGAATGTCTCAAAGCCAAAAAGGAGGCGTACACCCAATGGAAGGGAGGGGCCATCACCAAGGAGGATTATACCTCCTTGGCTCGAGATTGTAGTGAGGCTATTAGGAAGGCTAAGGCAGAGATGGAATTGGGACTAGCGACCCGGATCAAAGATAACAAGAAGTCCTTTTTTAAATACATAGGGGGTAAAAAGGTGCCAAATAATGTGGGGCCTCTGCAGGACACGCTTGGTAATCTGGTGGTAGCACCAGATGACAAAGCTAATCTCTAACAGATTCTTTGCTTCCATTTTTCTGAGCAGGGACAGGGACATCCCCCACACTGGGATTCCAGACGGACCCAGGGGAGGCACAGCCAGGCCCAGGGTCAGCGAGGACCTAGTCAGGGAACTTCTGGTGGGACTGGATGTGTTCAAATCAGCAGGTCCTGACGATCTCCACCCCAGAGTGCTGAGGGAACTGGCAGAAGTCATTGCAGGACCCCTGACACAGCTCTACAAGCACTCATGGTGCTCTGGAGAGGTGCCATAGGATTGGAAAAGGGCCAATGTGGTCCCCATTTTCAAAAAAAGGGAGGAAAGAGGACTCAGAAAACTACAGGTTCATTAGTCTTACCTTGGTCCTGGGGAAGCTCTTTGAGAAAATTATCCAGGAGCACATCTGCAAGGGGCCAGCAGGGGAGTTTATGCTTAGGGGCAAACAGCACGGGTTCATTAGAGGCAGGTCCTGTCAGACCAACCT